CCGGGCGCTTGGTGGCCCCGGGCCCGCGCGCCGGCGCCCAGCCGCTGTCATTACCTGGCCAGTGTGGTTTTCCCGGAGCCCGGGAGGCCTCGCAGGAGGTAGAGGTGTTTCCTAAAGCTCTGGCGGCGCGGAGGTGTCCCCCGCGGGGGCGGCGGCCGAGGCGGCGGCTGCTGCTGCTGCTGCTGCTGCTGGAGGCTCAGCCTCCCAAAGGATTCAAGAAAACTGTCCTCCATGGGGAGGGGGCCGGCTGCGAGAGCCCTGGGTTCCCTTTCCTGAAGTCACGGTCTTGGCCAAAGCTGTTGTTTTTGTGACTCTCCGGCCATGTGATAGATGGAGGGGCGGGCGCTCGGAGCCCAGCCCCTCCTCCCACCCGCCGGAACCGCGCTGCGGGGGAGGGGGCTCCCTACCTGGAAGGCTGGGGACGCTGGGAGACCGGCAGCCGGAAAACGTGGGCGACGCAGCCCCCCGCGCCATAGCACCCCCGCGCCGCCTCCCCGTGCCTGCGGGTGGCCTCTGCCCCGAGGGAGGGGAGGGGCCGCTCGACGGGACTCTGGGACACTTCGCTGCGCCGCTATGGAAGCCAGGCCTCCTGCCACGGCCCTCCCCGACCCCAGCCCCGTCCGGCCGAGACCTCGAAAGTGAAATAATTTTAGTTGACGATTAAAGAACCGGAATAGCATTTGGAACAGTAACGGTAAAGGCCACTGTCTCCCCAGTTTGTGAACACCAACCTCTGGCCGGTGTCCCACGGGCTAACACCACTCTCCCAGGGGCTGTATCCTTTCTCTTTTATCCTGCCTTATCAGCCTGCCAAAAATATTCTTAGAAAGCTTTGTTGCCTCTACATAACTTTCCATCTCTTCTTCCTTAGAAAAGGCACCCCTGAAAAGTCAGCTTGACTTGTGAACAGTAGCAGAAGGGCTACTGCCCAGGTGCCTGCGTTGTGCCACCTGAGATGCGGGGGCCTCTCTAGAACTCCTTCAGATCCAGGGGGAGAGGGCAGAGCTACCGAAACCATTTATAGAGAAGCATCCAGACTCAAGTTCTAAGTTCCAGGAAGTAGTGAGCACCCCATTGGCTGCTCACCGCAGTGACTCTCCAATAGTTCACACTCAGGAACATCACAGAGCGATCCTGTTCTGTGAACCGAAGTTCTACCTTCGTAGACCGAAAGAAACAATATTCAGAATCCTCGAAAATCCAGGCTATGTGGTGGCTTTGGCTATAAGTTAATAAATTTTGTTTCTGGCAGTAAGGTATGAAAATTGTGAAAAGGAATTGTGAAAGTGTGGATTCCTTCTAAAACAAAACACAGAGGTTTCACAGTAAGCCTTAGGAAGAGGCTATTCAGCTAGGGAGGGGCTCTGTGCTGAGAACGTCACCTTCCCCTTGGCATTTCCCTCTGGGGGCGGGGCAGGGGTGGGAGATGAGCCGCTGTCCCCTGGAAATCCCTTCCCAGCATGGAGGAAGAAGACTTTCTGGATTCCTCTTAGCATTGCTAAGAAACAAGGGAACTGAAATTTCAAAGGCTTCTCTAAATATTAGGGGAAAACCATAAGGAACAGAAAATATACATGAATCATAAAAATAGTGACACTTATAATCTAAGTATCCTATCATACTTCTCACAGACATCTTTCTGCCCAGCCTCAAATACGACCTTTTCCATTCTAGACCTGAACTGTCCAATATGAGAGCCACTAGTCACATGTGGCTATTGAGCACTTGAAATGTGGCTAGTGCAAATGGAGATTAAAATACACACTGAATTTCAAAGGTTCAGTATGAAAAAACACCTCATTAATAATGTTTTATATTGATTACATGTTGAAATGATAATATGTTGGGTATACTGGGTTAATATATTATTAAAATTAACTTCACCTGGTTTTTTTTCTTTTCTTTTT